GCATTTCTGAGGTCAAAGTGAACATGGCTCCATCACCTCCCATTTCACATTCACTGGCCAGAGCAGGGGGCTTGGAAGGCTTCCTGGGGCCTGTCACAGATTATCCGCCGGTGGTGAGTCAAATACTATGTCACGCCAGCGGGACTCACCAGGTCCAGGAAGTAATGGGGACGTCTGATTGAACACTCGTGCTGGGCACGGCCAATGCAGTCACTTTAATAAGGACGGTGAAGGTTTTGCCCATGAGTTAATTGAAGGTCATCGTTTTAATACTCTGTACTCTTGGACACTGGTTATTGGAGCTGTGGGACACGAAGCACCAGCCCCTACAAGAGGACAGCCACCTTAGGGCAGGCACAGGTCACCCTATCCATCCGTGATAACTGTTGCCTGTTGCTAGAAGCCTAAGAGCTGTCTTGTGAGATAGAAACGCTGGATTCACATATAAGCAATAGAGTTACTCCTAAAATCCATGCATGAAAAAATCCCACTGAAATGTCATAACGCCCTGGGGCTAAAGAGAGTGTACATCCTTCCTGCAGAGTGAGGCAGGAGTGGTTGGGTATTGTTGGGGAGATGTTCGTGGTTTATTCTAGAAGCAAGAAAAATATTGCAAAGAATCCTAAGGGTGATTGTAATTCAAACCCAATCAAGGCTGCACGTTCAGTGTGCAGCAAAGGAAGCACTCAGACCAAATGACTAGCTGCGTGCAGACTTGAAGCATTATTAACATAAAATTCCCTTAGGTGTTCAGTTACACTCTGGTCCCCTGATATGGCCATGTGGGGACAGCGGATCTCTTCTGCTGACCTTTGTCCACACCTTTGAGGCCTGACCCACTCATTCTATCAAAGACTCCAGGGAAGGCAGGCACCTCCATGGGCTTTGACCCCCATGGTTTCCGTATCTTTGCAGTTAAATAATAAGGACACCCTCAGCTAAAACTCCTGCAACCTGCACAGTGGGTTCTGGAAGAGTCCGGGATCAAACCCCACAGAATGTGTGTGGATCATGCCCCACCCCCCAGGTCCTCACATACACGGGGCTCGGAGTGACCGCCCCCCCTTTCCACGGTCACCCTGTTCGTCTGACCTCCCCGTGGTTGCTTGTCTTTGTCATCGTTCCACAAGCCAACGGGGCCAGACCCTGGTTCACCCACCCCCATGGACCGGCCGCCTCCGGCAGATTTCCCCACTGCAGGGGTCCCTTCACACCCTCTCAGTCTCCAATTCCGTTAGCGTCTCTGACACGCGCACACCCCGAACCCTCTTTCCCTATGATGTGAATGCTAATTCTAATCTCAGTCTACTTGGGTAGACTTAGGGACACACCCCTAAAGGAGGGGGAAGTTCAGACGCCTCCCGCAGCTGTGAATGGCAGCAGCAGAGAAATAACCATCTACAGAGACACGGGCAGTTTCAGAAGGGAACACCCACGAGTCTGGCGAATGTGGCGGACCGAACGGCGCGCCCAGAGGTCGTCGGATTCGCCGGAAGCGTTCATGTCACTCGGGGTGACAAAGCTCTCCATCAACACTGCGCGTCTCCCCGGCTATCTGGGAAGGCCGCACGCTGCGCCGTGTGTGGGCTTTCTGGGCTTTTTCCTTCCTGTACAGCGTCAGTGCGCTGCAGGATACGAGACGGTGACTAGTCTAGAGGACCTGCACAGTATCGGAGTTACTTGCAGAGAAAATGCGTGTGAGTCGAAAGCCCGCTTCCCAAGGAAAACCAGCCAGCCTTCAATGGCAAACAGAATACCCCTAGGAGTTAAATGTCATTTGACATCGGGGTCCTTAAAAAAAAACAAACCCGTTGCCATCGAGTCGATTCCGACTCATAGCGACCCTACAGGACAGAGTAGAACTGCCCCACACGGCTTCTTAGGCGCCTGGTAGATTCGAACTGCCGACCTTTTGGTTAGCGGCCGTAGCACTTAACTGCTATGCCAGGGTTTCCAAAGGGGTTCCTTAGAAGGATTAAAATTCTTAGTGTACCTTAAAAGTATTAGTCTCTTATTGTGCTTCTTGTACCAGGAAGAAAAAAAGAAAAAGAGAGAATGAAAAAGTCATAGAGAAATTAAAAATGTGACAAGGGTCCCCACAAGGCTTCGGCAGGAACCCGGAACGCCCTGGCCTAAACAGCTGCTTCAGGAAGGACGTGCCCCATGGGGGCTGGCAGACACCGCTGCGTGAGACAAAACCCGAGCGTCTGCGTAACAAGGACAGCATGGGTGTGATGCACACAGGCGTGTACAACAGCTCTACAGTGATGGAAACCAGGGCACGACGCCACCGCTGGTTAAATACTTAGTGTTTACTCGTTCTGACTCACAGTGACCCGACAGGACAGAGCAGAGCTGCCCCACAGGGTTTCCAAGGCTATAATCTTTAGAGAAGCAGATTGCCACATCTTTCTCCCGTGGAGCGGCTGGTGGGCTTAAACTGCTGACCTTTTGATTAGCAGCCGGGTGCTTAACCACTTCACCGCCAGGGCTGCTTACCTAGAGTAAAGCCAAAATTATTCTAGACCAATTGTGGTTCTGTTAAATTAAAAAAAGAAAGGAAGTGGGGGGGGAGGGGGAAGGGAGGGAGGCAGGAAGGAAGGAAGCAAGGAAGAAAGGAAGGGAGAGAACAGCCAGAACAAATGAATGATGTATGACTTTAATGAATTAGAGAGAGCGAGAGAAAGAAGGAGGAGGAGGAGGATGAGAAGGAGAAGAATTTCCTGTGAACAGAATGCAAGGAATAAAACTGAGGGGGAATTCTGGCAAAGGCAGCCTCAAAGATTTGTATCATGCCCAGGGCAATTCCGTGGTGGTGGAGGAGGTGTGCTGTCCCCAGCCACTGTGTAGCACTGATGAACAGACCAGCTGGGTCGCCATTTAGAGAGACTTGCCCATCAAGTCCAGGAGGGGATTAACATCCTCATTCCTAGGGGAAATAAAATCACCTTTTAAGCTTAGACAATATCTGGGAGGGTCAGGGAGTAGAAGACAGCTCTTACAGGGGAGGGATGAGATGGGGCGCCGCATCCAGGGAAAACCCAGCCCTGGAACAAACAGGCACCGTCGAGTGAATTCCACCAGTGCGTGTGCCGGGGACTCTGAGCACAGAAGGAGCAGCCTTCCACCGTGGACAAGAGCGTGGAGATGCAGCCTGACCCTCCCCTGGGAGGACCCCTGGCTCCATCATTACCGCCTACGGGACCTCCTGGAGCCCACTGGCCATTTTTAAATTTTAACACAGGCTCGTTCCTGCGAATTTGGGTATTTAAGGATATTCTGAACTCGACAAGACTCATTACTAAAACACAGGATTTTCCCAATATTTTCTGAATTTGTTTCTTTAAATTGTATAAGATAGAAATTAATACGTATGTGTATCTCCTCCATAGCCATCCTGTATATCTCCGTCTGTCAATAAGGGCATGTCTGAACACCACCCACGCCTTAACACACTGATGTCACAATGCCCAGAGGCATCGGATGAACGTTTTCCGCCTTCTTCTCACTTCCAGTAATTATCCACCTGGCCGCCATATGTTATACATCACATGCTGGTGCTTTAGCTTTTTTTTCCTTCTGGGAATCTCTGCGAATGGTATTGAAACACTCTGAAATGCTTATCAATGAACTATGCTCAGAGCCACAGGGATCACTGAAAACCTCCCTTTCGGCTGCCCTACTTCTCAAAGGTGCGCCTTGAAATGCAGCCACCTCCGCACAGAGAGAAGTGAGAGGTGGGTGGGTGGGAGGCAGTGCTGACGTCCTGGAGCAGGGACCAGAGCCACGTGCCGCCATCACCTCTTCCCTTACTGGGAGGTGGAAACAACAGCTCAGTGCTCGGGTGGCACTTCAGGTGCACAGCGACAGCCACAGGAAGCCAATGTCACCCACCGGCAATGCTCTGGATTCCAGCGGAGGGCTATACATCAGTCCCATCGGGGAGATGGAAAAGAAAAAGTTGCTTTTCATTATATTTCAATTCTTCCAATGTTTTCCACAACATCGAGAATAAAAGGTTGCTTCCTATGCTATTTCAGTACTTTCAATATTTTCCCTAATTGGCGCCGTAAACGTTCAAGACTTTTCTTTGAGGGAGAACAGAGGTGTGGCGTCTACTCCAGTACCACACGGGAAGGAAATAAACTGGTTATTTTACAGACTTGGCTCTTTAGGGCATTACTACAGACCAGACAGGTGGCTATCTGGGCCAGCAGCTCTGAATGGAAAAGATCCAGAAGTCTGAATAAGGCCGGTCGACCAGCAGCCTGGAGAACTTTGTTCTTCATTGGGTTGTACCTGTGCTCTTCCTGTCACCTCCCCAGGTGACAACACGGTGACTGTAACAAGACCAAGGCTGAGGCTCTCACACACCACTCACTGTCATCTCTGCAGATGTCAGCCAGGTCCAACCTCTTGGCTTCCTCGGCAAGAATCATTCCAAGGCCAAACTCACAAGTTGTTTCCAGAATTCCAGAGTATGATCCAGATGGGGACCACGAGGGACCCATGGGGAATAACTCTATGGCCGCACTTACTTTCTTCATTTTCACAAATACTATGGACCTACCTACACCCTCCTTGTTGAGCAGGTGGATAAAGTGCCTATTTTCTTGAATTAAAACGTCATGAACACATATGATCAAAAGCAAGAAAACTTTCATATTTCTAAGGACTTCCTCCAATGTGGGTGGTGCATTTATGAAAAAGCTCAGGAAACAGTCAGCTTGTTAGAGAAACGAGCTGCACACAATCAAACATTTCACACTGTGGCACACTCAACAGCGATAAGGGCTGAGACCACATTTTCACGACGCCATATTTAGATTGTGCTTGCTGTGAAGAGCTGTGCATTTTTGGCAGCGCTGGGAAGCTCATGGCTGGAAATGTGCTAGAAATGTCTCCAAAGTTGACTTCTGCAGCCGCAGGAGTATGGGCAATCACGGGGCACAGGCCTTGAGGAACGGGGGGATCACAAGAGGCCAAAAATAGAGAAGCGATTAGTACTCATCATAATTATTGAGATCTGTAAAGTAGGCGTTAGAATAGGTCTTTCCAGTGATGTGTGGGTTGAAGTACTTGTTTCTTTCCTCTAGAATCAAGTTGTTTTTGTTAAATGCCTGTAAAAAGAAAAATTGAAAATATTTATTAGGTAGTATTTCAGAGAGAGGATAGAATTAGGAGACCATTATGCTGAAACCCGACTCACAGTGACCCTAGAGTAGAACCACCCACAGGGTTTCCAAGGTGGATTCAAACTGCCAACCTTATGGTTAGCAGCCGAGCTCTTAACTACTGCGCCACCAGGGCTCCTCCTAAGCCCCTGTTATTTAGAAATGTGTTGGCTCACTTCCCTCCTTCCCGGATTATCTGTCATGCTGAGGACTTGCCTAATACCTACAATGGGGTTGGCAGTGTCTGACTTCTCCCAGTCTATTTTTGAACTTGAACTTTAGTCAGGAATTTCCAAGAGAAGCTGAGGGCTTAAAAAACCAAAACCTAACCCTCCAGAAAAACCTAACACTGTAATGATTTAAAATTAGCAGAACTTCAGTTATCATATGTAACTGAGTAGATGTTTCAGTAGCTCTCTGATTACCATGGACAGATAACCGAGTCCTTGGCCTGAAGTTCTTCTCTGATGGAAAACCTCTCTTTGGATTCAGAAGGCACATCTAATGCTGAGCTGGGCATTAGCCAATGACTCAGTATTTTCCAGCATTTCTCTGTTGCTGTCTCCTTTTTTAACCTACATTTCCAATACAAGATGTCATCTTTTCACTGGCATAGCAAAGCCAACAAAAGTAGTTCATCATGAAAGGGACCCTTTTTCCGGTCCTCACCCTGTCCGCCCCACAACCACCACCGAGCTCTGCTAACACCCCCGGGGCCCACCCGCCTGCTGTGCACACCTGGCTGCGGCTGTCCCTGCCGATCCCTCACCTTGATGGCTTCCACGGAGTCGTACTTGTCCAGCTTGTTGATGTGGTTGGTGATGCTGGTGTTGAGAGGGGCGGGCGAGACGGGGTGGATGACGGTGGCGTCGTGGGACTGCTGCTGGTAGCGTTGGCAGTAGGTGTAGACGAGCAGAGTGAGCAGGCAGCCGAGGATGGAGCTGCTCAGCCCCACGGCGATCATGTGGAACATGTTGAACTCTGGGAAGACAGGGCCAAGGGAAATGCTACACTTGGAAAGAACATGGTACCTAAGAGCACACACACTTCGATGAAAAGAGAAGATGAAATGAACACCTCCGAACCCACTCCAAAACTGAAGAAATCCTAGTACCTTCCCTTGAAATCCATGGCCACCAAGAAGTTTCTCTACAGTGAGGGCAATGTATGTAATTTAAGGTTCAATCGATCATGACCAGTCTTTTGGATATGACTTAAACCTTAATACATTAGTAATACACTATTATGAGAAGCGACCAGTCCCTGGAGAAGGACATCATGCTTGGTAAAGCAGAGGGTCAGCAAAAAAGAGGAAGACCCTCAACGAGATGGACTGACACAGTGGCTGCAACAATGGGCTCAAGCATAACAACGATTGTGAGGATGGCGCAGGACAGGGCAGTGTTTCGTTCTGTTGTACATGGGGTCGCTATGAGTCAGAACCGACTCGACAGCACCTAACAACAATAAACTTTATTGTGGTAAAATAGATATAACAAAAATAGCCATCTTAGCCATTTTAACCATTTTAAGTGTACAATTCAGTGACATTAGTTACATTACCACTCTCTATTTCCCAAGTTCTTCATCACCCCAAACAGAAACTCAGCAGCACCGCATCAGGAGTAAGTCCCCCCAAATGGGCCCAGCCACACAATTGCTTTTCCTAGAGGCAATGACTGCAGCCACTGTCTCCTGTCACCTTCTAGAGACATTCTGCACACTTAGGACCGTAGATCTGCTGAGGGAGCCTGGTGTGTCTGTGTGTGCATGCACGTGTGTGCATGTGTGTGCATGTAAATGTTATTCTGCACACCACTTGTTTTCACATACATTACATTTCAGAAATCTTCCAAAGAAACAAATGACATGTGTTAAAGGCATAAAGCAGAACCCTTTAAGTGGTCATGAAATGATCCCTTTTTCATAGTGTTTTTCCATTTAGTAGCACGTGCCCTGATCCGTTGGGTTATTTTCCTTGAGTTATGAATACAAACCATTCAAAAAAAGCAGCGGACATGGACTTATGTCTCTAAAATAGGACTGGCTTGCATGGCACAAGATAACCCAGCACGACCCATCTGAGGACTGGCAGCAAAGAAACAGATGTTGGTAACCCTGTCACGCCCTCTGGGGACTACAGCAGCACTGTGAGCCTGTCCTGGAAGCCGCTTACCGGGAACCAGGTAGAACAGAACGGGACCTTATCTGTCTCTACGTGTTGGTCCCCATGGCTGGCCACCTGTGGGTCAGTCCCTGGGTGCATTCCCCCCTGCACAGAGCCTATCCTGGGGGCCCTCTCCCCTCCGCAGAGCATCACCTCCAGGCAGCACCATGGGGCGCAGCGTCACCAGGATGCTGGGGACCGTGTCGCCCCCACCCGGCTGCCTAGCAGGACTTCAGGGCCCTCAGGGGTGAGAAGAAGCAGGGGTCTGTCCCCACACTCAGCCCAGAGTGTTTGCCCTCAGTCCCCAGTCTCCTCCACTGGGACACTCAGAGTCCCCATCACTGTGCGCTGTGATCTGTGTCCAGCACTCGTGGATCACTTCCCAGACGGGGCTTGGACACTTAGAGCACCACTTACAGAGAGAGACCAGAGCCTGGACTCTCGGCTCCGCCTCGTCCTCCTGGACTCGCTGCAGCCCTGGAGGTGGCCCAGGGCCCAGGCAAGGCCCCACCTGTGTGTGCAGCAGAGTGTGAACATCCTTGGTTTGTCCCCAAACGTGGAGCGTCTCCCTCCCAGCTCTGCTCCTAGTGCTGCTCGCGGACACCCCGTCCCAGGGACCAGAGCCCCAAGTGTGGACGCCGAGCAGAAAGGCTGCTTTCTCCACCATCCACCGTCAGCCATACTAACAAGCTCCAAACACATCCCCATTCCAAACGAACATGCAACTCCTAACGGAGGCATCCGGGGTGTGAAGTGCTAAGGGATGGGTAATCCAGGTGGATGTTGCTAGCACATCCAACAATCACCTCAATTTCTGTGTCTAGTTTATTTAGTCAATGGTTTCATACAGGAAGAGGACTTTATAAAGCTTTGCTGTGTTTTTGTGGAAGCCTCCAGGACTGCAGAGCCCCCAGCCTGCAGCAGCTGGGAAAGCGCCCGGGGCAGCCACTCAGCCTACGTGTCTAAGACGAGCCAGTGGTCTCACCTGCCGTCCTTTCTCCACGTCAGCACCGGCACTCCCCCGGGCCAGGGCCACGGACCAAGAAAACATCCTCTGCACGTGTCGCTATCACATACCGAGGATGCACGGTGCCCCACACGCAGACGCTGTGTCCTTAGCCACCTGGATCATTCCTGCTGGTGCCCGAGGAGGAGCAGCTGACGTCTTTGTGATGATTATATCGTCTTTGTGTCTGATGCAGCTACAGACAGCTCTCTAAGTTGAGAAATTTCAATAGGAGCACGTTTTTCTGCATCAGGGACAGACTGTGCCAATTAAATTTGCTCAGCGCAGCTCTTTCCCTTTGGACGTGATTTTTGCTGTTGTTTTGGTCAGTGAAGCTGGAGTAGAGACCTATCGCCTAGTTGGCTGACTGGATGACTTTCTGTGCAGAGTCTGTCGATATTTCAACAAACGTAAGACGTCTAAACACCCCAAACCATCCTTGCGAGGTAACTCTGTTTACCCATCAGCCCGAAAAGAAGATCCGGCTGCTCATCTAGCCATCTATGTGTATGTGTCAATGTCAGATGCCAGGAGACCCACAGACTCAGCTCTGAACATTGTAGAGTAATTAAAGTTTCTGTAAGGTGGTCAGTGGCCTCACAAGGCTTACTTCTGGGTTGTACAGCTGATGGTATAGTAGTTCATTCATATGGAAGTGGCATTTTAGGACGGGAATGGATTTTACACCTTGTTTTCTCAGGTGCTCAAGACCCTGGAGGGACACCACAAATTCGAAGGCAAATAGGGGAAGGCGGTCTGTGAATCTCTTACAGGACAGAGTCATCTCTGCCGCGACATCAGATGGTGACCTGGCTCTGCCTGGTCCCCCTCAGGATGGAAGCATCCCTATGAACACTGCCCCAACCCTAACCTGGGCTGGGAAGGAGAAGCTGGCCCTGGGGCCTGGCATTGTCCGTGAGGGTCACCTGACCAGGACTGCCGTGGGCTGAGCCCCCCTCGACCCGGCCCGGTGGCTCTCAAGATCAGGCCTCACTCCCTGTGGTGTTGGGTTAAAGCACAGACGCAGATTGCACTGTGGGATCCAAACCTGGCTCCACTCCTAATGACCTCTGGGATCGTCCCAATGACCTTACCTCTCTGGGCCTCACAGCTTCCTTCTGTGAAGCATAGGTTATAATACATGGCCTCCTCCTTTTCTGCAATTCCCCATCCAGACTCTGAGCACTGATGCCCCACTTTTCAGGGGCTGCAGCACGGCCTGGCCAGGCCATTTCCCTGCAGGACTGGTGGACGCCGCAAGGAGCATCCTCATCTTCACTCAAGGCAGCCTCATTCGAGATGGGATGGCTGAAGAGCCTGGTTTCCGAGAGCTGCCCCTGAGCCGGGTGTTCCGTGACACACGGCACACGCTCCATATTACCCATCCGTGATGTGAGAAATGCTGACCTCCCAGGCCCTCCTCTACCTGTGCGGGCACCAGTGGCCCCTGTACTGCAGCTCCTCATGATGACCTAATGGGATGCTCCTGTCCACAGCATTTAATACAACAGCTGACACACAGCGACGTGTGTAAAAACATGAAGGGGCACTTTGTGTGCCGCTATGATGCTGGTGTTTCAAATGCCAGCTGGGTCACCCGTGGGGGATGGGTTTCAGCAGAGCTTCCAGACTAAGACAGACTAAGAAGAAAGGCCTGGTGATGTACTTCTGAAAATTAGCCAGTGGAAACCCTGTGGAGCACAACAGAACACTGTCCAACTGTTTTTGGACACGTCCTCAGGAGGGATCAATCTCTGGAGGAGGACATTGTGTTTGGTGAAGTACAGGGCCAATGAGAATGAGGAAAACCCTCAGTGAGGTGGCACAGTGGCTGCAATGATGGACTCAAACATGCTGGTGATCGTGAAGATGACACAGGACCAGACAGCATTTCCTTCTGTTGTAAATCAGGTCACCACAAGTCGGAGTTGACTGGATGGCAGCTATCTGTCTGTCTATCTAGCTATCTCCATCCAACCCATCCAACCCATCCCATCCCTCCATCATCCATCCCTCCATCCATCCCCCCACCCACCCCCCCATCCACCCCTCCACCCCTCCATCCCTCCACCCACGCACCCACCCTCCCACGGATCCCAGCAATCTGGAGACTAGCTGCATGGGCTTGCAGTATAAATATACTATAAATAGAAAACAAACTGCTTGAATTCTATTTTGCTCATGGGAAATCTAACGGTCACTAATATCAAGATCCCAAGCTCATGAAGCTTAGTTTACATTAGAATCACCTGGAGTACTCTGTAAACCACAGACTGCTGGGCTAGCCTCCCAGAAGTTTTGATTTGGTGGACTAGGGGAGGGGCCTGAATCTACGTTTCTATCGTGGTCCCACGTGATGCTGGTGATGCTGGTCTGGGGGCCCCATGCTGAGAACCGCTAGTCCAGGTGTCAAATACTGACCACTAACATCTATACTATGAACGCATAAGGTGTCTGGGATTCAGGAGTTTCTCCAATTTGTCATTCTTGGCCAACAGCAGAAACATCATATAAAAGTAATCGGTTAGGAAGCACTGAGTATCTGTTAATGGAATGGAAAATTTGGCAGTGGATATTGATGACGGTAGCAGAACATGATGAATGTAATCAACATTACTGAATTGTACACGTGAAAAATTTTGAATTGGAAAATGTGTTATATACCTTTTTACCACAATAAAAATTAATTAAAACATACAGAAAACAAAATGATTAGAAAACATCAGAAGCCGATTAGAAGTTAGCCAAAAGGAAGAACTCACCTCCACACCTTTTCTCTTCCATGCTACTGGATCTGGCCACAGACACTTCTGAGAAAACAAAAACCCAATCACAATGAGTACACGGTATTGGGAAAGAAGATCGTATTAATGCTTCACTTAAGGAAAAAAATAGTCTGATTTTGATTTTCCCAAGAGTCAAGTTTCCCAAAGTCTGAGGTATTTTAAACCCTGATATTTGATTTTTTGTTTTTTTAACCAGCCTGAGATATATCTGGTCAAGGCCAGCTTGATTGGGAAGGAGAGAAATTCATGGACACAAAAATACAATGCCACGGTCCCCTCGGCTGAGCCCAGGCCACTGGCTTCAACCTAGGGCCAGACTGTGTGTGGACTTTCTGCAACAATGCCATCTGCCAGCTAAGGAACCTGTCAGGGCTCGCCTGTGGGGTTCCTGCTCTGCCAGATCCTTTGTTTTATGAAAGCTAGTGTCCCATCCCTTGCAGAGGGACCAATCCAGGAGAGCTCAAAGGAAATTGCCGGAACAAACACAGTCACCATTCAGGAGCCCCTCCCTGCTCTCCAGCACACCACATGTGAAGTCCACAAGTAGGATGCCAGTAAGAGTACGGGTTTCCTGTCTGAAGCCCTAAGGATAAACACCATCCTAGCAGTTCAAAAATTCTGTTCTCTCCTGTACTGATTTGTCGTTACATAACGAGAGTTAAAAATAGGTCCGTGGTTAAAAACAAAAAATAAAACCATAACACATACTCCCAGAGTTCTATACCATACGTGATCGGATGTCTTAAAAAAGTCTAAGGCTAATAATTTTCTCTAAAATATTATGCTTTCCACAAATGGACGAAAACAGAGCCAATTTGGCTCATAGAGTTCAGCCCTGTTCTTGCTTTGCCACAGACTGGTGTTTGCTATGGCACACATGGGCATCTGATTTACAGGGCTAAGCACCTTGCCCACAGTGGGCATGCAACAGGTGATCAGCTATCACCAATACCTAACATGGATTTTACTCGGAGAAGTCTGTGGGATGAGGGCCATCAACGGCCTCCCCAAGATGAGAATAAAGACGACTGTTACGAGTTGAGCTGTGTTCCCAAAGGATACGTTGAGGACTCTGAACCTGGGAATGTGACCTTATTTGCAAACGGGATCTTCCTTTGAAGATGTTTTCAGTTAACAAAGTCATAGGAGAGTAGGGTAGGTCCTAATCCTAATCCCTTCTGAGTGACGTCTTATAAAAGAGAAGGGCAGATAGAAATAGGGTCCCACACAGGTAGAAGACAGCCCCCAGGAGACGAGGCAGCAGGGGAACGTCAAGGATGGTGGGCGGCCACCAGAAGCTGAGAGGGGCAGGAGCAGCTCTTCTCTCAGAGACTCAGAAAGAGAGCCTGATTTGGGCTTCTAGCCTCCAGGACTGTGAGAAAATGTATTTCTGTTCTTTAAAGCCACCCGCTTTGTGGTGTTTCAGGAAACTAAGACAACGGGTCTCCATCTTCCCAAATACGTTAAGGCCGCAGAGAGCGAAGGGCCCTTTTTCTGGGTAAACCCACACACGGCACTGCCAGAGCATTTCACCCAATAATAAAACTACCCCCTAAATTTTCTTCATTCTTTTAAGTAAAATTTTCTGACTGAATTCGTCCATAAATTACAGAGGACATTATGCTTTTAAAAATACCTTAAGCTCATGAACAAAATTCAGGTCTAAACCTGCTCTTCTACAAAACCACGAGCTGATAGAACACGGCTTCGTCTCACAAATAAGGCCTCAGGAGACAGATGACTCTGACCTAGGAATCATGTTCTCTTGCATTGTTGGAAATGACTTCACTCACGCTGACAAACACCTCGGCCCTTACCTGGAATGAAGTTAGAATCAAAAGCACACGGCCGGCTTTCTGTGGTGTTTCCGGAACACTGGCCACCCACAGGAAACAGAAGGATACATTGGCGGGCGCGGATCTGGACTCCAGATGCATCACACTCAGACCAGTCTGACCACTCCGACCAGCTCTCTGCAGTGACCAGACGAGGGAGGGCGCAGAACTGACCCGTTAATATCAATCAACCCAGAAACCCTGGCCAGGTCAACATGCTAGTCTAGGTTTCAGATGATGGTTTTAAAGGTTCTATATATAAATGAGTGTAATTATACCTTCTGAGCAGTCCAGCAAATACAATACATATGAGAATGAATGAAGTGCCAAGTATCTTCTAATAAAAAATGAGGGTAAAATAAATTTCCTGAAATCCACATTTTTGTATCTAGGAAGTAATCAAATTTAGACACTCAAGGGGCTAGTCTGTGGGGCCCAGCTTCGCACAGACCATCATTCCAGGGTAGAAATATCAACACAGACATCATTTCCCACCCTGGTAGTGCAGTAGTGAAGTGCTTGGCTGCTAAATGAAAGGTCGGCCGTTCAAACACACCAGCAGCTCTACAGGAGAAAAGACCTGGTGATCTGCTCCTGTAAAGATTTACAAACTACGAAACCCTATGGCGGCAGTTCTACTCTGTCACATGGGGTCACCATGAGTCAGAAAAGGAGCCCTGGTGGTGCAGTGGTTAAGTGCTCGGCCGCTAACCAAAAGGTTGACAGTTCGAACCCATCAGCAGCTCCGCAGGAGAAAGATGTGGCAGTCTGTTCCCATAAAGATTACAGCCTTGGAAACCCTACGGGGCAGTTCTACTCTGTCCTATGGGATCCCCGGAGCCCTGGTGGCACAGTGGTCAAGAGCTATGGCTGCTAACCAAAAGGTCGGCAGTTCAAATCTACCAGCTGCTCCCTGGAAACTCTACTGGGCAGTTCTACTCTGTCCTATAGGGTCATTATGAGTTGGAATCAACTTCACCGCACACAACAGCAACCATGCCCCCATGCTAAGACAGAGCACCCCCAGCTCTCAGACGCTTTCCTGAGAAGCCCCCACAGGCCTTAGGGCTCAAGTGGGAAAAACATTTGTATCTTGAGAAAGCAAAACACATGTGTTAAAGAGGAAGCTCCTTTGAGGAACAGGAGTTTCAAGTTACCACAAGTGTTCTCCCTCTCTTATAAAAACAACTCCACAGAGTCAGTTCACCAAAGCCAGACTATACTTGGGATGTTGTTGTTGTTAGGTGCCATCGAGTTGGCTGACTCGTAGTGACCTTGTGTATAACAGAATGAAACACTGCCACAATCGTTGTTATGCTTGAGCTCATTGTTGCAGCCACTGTGTCAATCCATCTTGTTGAGGGTCTTCCTCTTTTTCACTGACCCTCTACTTTACCAAGCATGATGTCCTTCTCCAGGGACTGATCCCTCCTGATAACACGTCCAAAGTATGTGAGACGTAGTCTTGCCATCCTTGCTTCTAAGGAGCATTCGGGTTGTACTTCTTCCAAGACAGATTTGTTCGTTCTTTTGGCAGTCCATAGTATATTCAATATCCTTTACCAACACCACAATTCAAAGGCATCAACTCTTCTTCGGTCTTCGTTATTCATCGCCAAGCTTTTGCATGCATGTGAGGCAACTGAAAACATCGTGGCTTGGGTCAGGCGCACCTTAGTTTTCAAGGTGACATCTTTGCTTTTCAACACTTTAAGGTCTTTTGCAGCAGATTTGCCCAATGCAATGAGTCTTTCATTTCTTGACTGCTGCTTCCATGGGTGTTGATTGTGGATCCAAGTAAAATGAAATCCTTGAGAACTTCAATCTTTGCTCCATTTATCATGATGTTGCTTATTGGTCTAGTTGTGAGGATTTTTGTTTTCTTTATGTTGAGGTGTAAGCCATACCGAAGGCTGTGGTCTTTGATCTTCATCAATAAGTGCTTCAAGTCCTCTTCACTTTCAGCAAGCAAGGTTGTGTCATCTGCATAACGCAGGTTGTTAATGAGTCTTCCTCCAGTCTTGATGCCCCGTTCTTCTTCATGTAGTCCAGCTTCTCAGATTATTTGCTCAGCATACAGATTGAATAGGTATGGTGAAAGGATACAACCCTGACAGACACCTTTCCTGACTTTAAACCATCCAATATCCTCTTGTTTGGTTTGAACGACTGCCTCTTGATTTATGTACAGTTTCCTTATGAGCACAATTAAGTGTTCTGGAATTCCCATTCTTCACAAGGTTATCCATAATTTGTTATGATTCACACAGTCCAATGCCTTTGCATAGTCAATAAAACACTGGTAAACATCTTTCTGATATTCTCTGCTTTCAGCCAGGATCCATCTGACATCAGCAATGATATCCCTTGGGTTAGAAGTCATTTTTCCCCAAGTCTACTGTCGCTGAAGGTCCTATGCTCAACAAACAAGCCTTAGGTTTCCTGGGTCAAGGCCAGAAGATGAATAATGCAAAGTAACTTCGCCCTCAAGTGTCAAATTTTCTATGATTTCAATCCATGTTTATCTACAGAGATAGGAGCTCTGGTGGCACAGTGGTTAAGTGCTTGGCTGCTAACCAAAAGGTCTGTGGTTTGAACCCACCAACTGCTCTGTGGGAGAAAGATGTGACAGGCTGCTTCTGTAAAGATTATAGCCTTGGAAACCCTATAGGGCAGTTCTGCTCTGTCCCACAGGGTTGCTATGAGTCAGAATTGACTCAACAGCAATGTTTTTTCTGGTTTATGTCTACAGATGTGTGAAAAAGGAGGAATGACACTCATATTTACGTTTGGAAGTTAAAGAAAAAAGACTGTAAATATTCTTCATGAAATAAATTAATCAACATTTTTAAAAGGCTTTTTTCTCTGCAGTTTCTGTTTTTCCCCTTGTTATATGTAAGCATCATTTTTGCAGTGCAGTGACAATTTAGAAACTGAACTTGGGCCTCGATCAGTGTGAAAGGTTACAATTTTTCCTAAGAAATGTGTGGAGTGCCAGTTTCCAGAGTGACTGTGAGAATTGGTTCCAAGGCGTTTTCTATGTTTCTGAAACCTTCTAGAAACATCTGCAAGAGCAAGTTAAAAAAAAAAGTATGTGTGTTTCAAAAGCACGTTTGAGCTGAATTGGGGCCCGGAGTTCTCCTAGTGCAGGGAAAGCCCTTTGTGAGAAGGGCCTGCAGGAATGCCGATGAAAGCAGGGTGGGGGCCAGGGTACAAGACCAACAGTCCTCTTCACGGCCACCCGGGGCGGAGAGGGCCCAGCGAGATGAAGGGAATGGGCAGGGGCTCCCAACAACCAAGGGAACCTGCTCGGGCTCTGAGTGCTACAAGAAGACATCTCGTGGTCCCCGCAGGGTGCTGGTGCTGGGCAGTGAAAGAGGCACAGGCAATCCCCCGGGCAGATCTCAGACGCAGGGGACCGTCCGAAGGCTGGTCTCTTCCCCAGCCCTTCTCTTCCCTCAGCACAGCAAGGGCCCACTGTGGGTAACTGCTGTAAGTCGATGCCGGAGGAGAGCTGCCCCATAGAGTTTTCTAGTCTGTAACCTTCGTGGGAGCAGATCACCAGGTCTTTTCTCCCACAGAGCCGCTGGTGGGTTCCAACTGCCAACATTTGGGTTAGTAGCCGAGTGCTTAGCCATTGCGCCACTAGGACTTCTGGTGGTCATCAGCAACTAATTATCAAGGCCAAGGCTTGAATAGGGACATGTCCTAACTGGGGAATTGGGGTTTTATAATAAAACGTGATATACACTCTCCTGCTCCTGGGATAAAGAATTTGAACCCTTGTGCTGAGCCTGCGACACATTGACAACTATCGTCTTGTACAACAACAGGGTGTGAAGTCACATCAAGGGTGTTATGGATTGAATTGTGTCGCCCCAATACAGGCTGAGTTCTGGCCCCTGGATCTATGAATGTGTTCCTGTTTGGAAACAGGGGTTTTCTTCTGTTATGTTAATGAGGTCACACCAGAGTAGGGTGGGTCCTGAACCTAATCTCTTCTGAGTGGTCTGTTATAAAGGGAAGAACAGACACAGAGAGACAGACACAGGGGAAGACGGATACCACGTGACAATAGAGGTAGAAACATGTACAACCCAGGAAGCCAAGATTGTTGGCGGCTCGCAGAAGCTGAGAGAGACCAAGAAGGGCCTCCCTGTAGAGCTGGTGCCCTGAATTTGGACTTCTAGCCTCCTGAGCTGTGAGAAAACACATTTCTGTTTTTAAAGCCACACACTTGTGGAGTTTCTGTTACAGCAGCATAGGAAACAAACACACAGGGTAACAGCACGGTAGATCCGTTCTCCCCTTGCAGAACTCCCCATAATGTGGCACATCACCGTCACCTAGTGAGTTAAGGAAGGAGGAGCGCGTGGGATGGCCCGCGGCCGCATGCACTCACCGGGGCAGGGCTGTGTGTTACAGAGTGCCTCCTCTGTGTGCAGACCCAGGCAGATGTCCCCTCCGTAGGCCGGGGCTGGATTCGAGCAGGAGCGCGTCCGCATGTAGTGTCCACTGCCACACGTTGCCGAGCACTTGGACCAGGGAGACCAGCAGGACCACACACCATCCACTGGGAAGGGACACAGAGTCACACTGTTGCAGATCCCAAACCCGCCAATGTGACATCATTATACAGTCACACCGTTCCCAAATCCGCCAATGTGACATCTCTACAGAGTCATGCCATTTCATATCTCACACCCCCAACGTGATGTCTCCACAGAGTCACACCATTTCAGGTCCCAAACCCCCAGTGTGATGTCTCTACACAGAGTCACACCATTTCAGATCCCAAACCCCCAACGTGACATCTCTACAGAGTCACACCATATGAGATCTGAAACCCCCAATGTGACGTCTCTACACGGTCACACCATATCAGATCCCAAACCCCCAATGTGATATCTCTACAGAGTTACACTATTTCAGATCCCAAACCCCTAATGTGATGTCTCTACCTAGAGTCACACCATATCAGATCCCAAACCTGCCAATGTGATGTCGTTATACATAGTTGTACTGTTTCGATCCCAAACCCATCAATGTGATGTCTCTACACACAGTCACACCATTTCAGATCCTAAACCTGCGATGTGATATCTCTACACAGAGTCACACTGTTTTAGATCCCAAACCTGTGAATGTGATGTCTCTACACAGTCACGCTGTTTCAGATCCAAAACCCGTCAATGTGATATCATTATACAGAGTCCATTTCAGATCCAGAACTGCCCAATCTCCAGGCAGGACTGCATTACAAGAATGCACCAGCGCCCATAATGGCAAAGCTGCTGATCAGCCACAGGGAGAGCTTGGTTTTCCTCTTGGGGAGGGATCCACTTTTCAGACTCTAGAAATGAGTGGGCCCAGACACGCAGAGGTGAGGCCGCACAGTGAATGAAGGGCAGAGCTGGGACCTAGAGCTTGGCTGCCTGAATGCAGAGCCGGGCACGACCACAGAGCTAGGGTGTCTTAGTCTCCTGGTACTGCTGTAACAGAAATACCACGAGTGGATGGCTTTAAAAAACAAATTTATTTTTTCACAGTTAGGAGGCTAGAAGTCAGAATTCAGGGTGCCAGCTCCAGGGGACGGCTTTCTCTTTGTGTCTGCTCTGAAGGAAAGTCCTTGTCTCTTCTGTGTTTCTGCTCCTGAGCAGTTTCCATGTGCTTGGTATCTCTCTTCCTGTCTCTGCTAGCTTGCTCGCTTGTTTAATATTTTATATATCAAAAGAGATTGCCTCAAGACAAACCCTATGCTAATCCTGTCTCATTAACATAACAAAGGCAACCCATTTCCAAATGGGATTATAACCACAGGCATAGAGGTTAGGATTTGTAACACATATTTTAGGGGGACACAATTCAATCCATAACGTAGGGTTTCACATAATGGCTCTAATGTTGCTAAGATCACACCAAATCTCATCGCTGGCCCAACCTAACTAATTTATCCTGGGAATGGTAGATGAGACAAATACACTAGATCGAAATGCAGATTTCAAAGCAATTCATTATCCATGGAAAAAGAGAAAAATTCTTGTTCTAGACATTCTAGCTGAATGCTCCACCCCCTACAGTAAAAAACAACGGCAACAACAGAAAGTACAACTGTTAGCAATCGAAAGAGCAAAGAAAACCCAGACAACTCACTCCTGCATGTTGGGAATCTCATGTGTGGTCAGAGAGGTGGTCCTGCATCAGACGCCCCCTCGGGACATGGGCATATTAGGTACTGGTTCCCTGGAGTACACACAGGTCTGCTGAAGGCAGCTCTGCTCTTGGCTCCTGAAGGATCCTCTGAGTTATGAATTGAATTGTGTCCCCCAAAAAGACATATGGAATTCCTAACCCCTGTATCTGTGAATGTGACCCTGTTTGGAAATAGGGTCTTTGAAGCTGTCATCAGTTATTAAAATGAGGTCATACTGGAGTAGGCTTGGTTCTAATGCTATATGAATGACGTCCTAATAAAAGAGGAGAAGACAGAGAGAGAGAGAGAGACAGAGTGAGTGGGCAGGTGAAGACAGAGGAAGCCACAGCTGCAGGCCCAGGAAGGCCAGGAACTTTGGGGACCACCAGGAGCTGGAGAGCGGCCTGGAGCAGCTCCTCCCTCAGAGCCCCAGAAGGAATCGACATGGCCGACACTCCAGCCTCCAGAACTGTAAAACAGTACATTTCTGTTCTTTAAAGCTACCCACTTTGTGGTATTTCGTGAGGGCAGCCCTGGGACAGTAAAACACTTAACAGAAGGTTCCTGGTCCCACCTCCTGCCCCCCTCTCCTCCAGGGCACATCTTGGTCTCATCTGCCTGCGTCACCTGTGGTTTACAGAGCAGAATGTGAACGCCAGGATTTCAGGATGGGAAAGTGCAGGTGCCCTGGGCCCGCTGTAGTGTCTAGCAGACCCTCTCTATAGAAAACACCCCTGTCCTCATTCCTCATCTTGATTCAAAGAGCTGGACCCTCCATTTTGTCCACACTCCATATACCTTCTTCCTTGACTCCTCATTTTTCTCTTAACAAAGTGGAACTATGTTAGTTAAATCTGATTAAATAAGTTTGTTTCCTGCGTTAGGTTTTAGGGGGTTGAAATGAAACTCTGAGGTTGCTTTCACGTTATTTGAATGTTGCTTAGCAACGAAGAAGCCTCGGTTGGCTCTGCTTTTGCTAGCCAGGACTGGAGTCCTCAGAGCTCAATCGAACGTGAATGGAGAAGGGCAAGGGGTGAAGAGGACAGGCCGAGCTAGTTCTCAATGATGGAGTTTATTAGGTTGATGAAAAAGACAGAAGTTAGATAAGAACTGCAGAGTGTGAAAAAAATGATCACTTCTGCATGGGCTCGACTTTAAACCCGTGTTGCAGTTTATTATCTGCACTAGAACTTGGGACTGGATTTCTCATTGATCAACTAAAAGGGTCTTTACATTCATATAGTTTCTTAAAACTTATATTTAATCACACGAGGGAATTAGGTTTTAATAAAATGCAGTGCCCAAATTTAAAGGTGTCCATGAGAAAAAAAAAATTGGGCTAAGAGGAATCAGTTCTCAGGGAGAAGAGTGTTGACGTGCAGTAAAAACAGCCCGATCAGCTGGGCCTCTCGCTGGGCCTCTCGCTGGGCGGTCAGCTTGGCATCCATAGCCCTGGGGGCTTCCAACCCCTTCTTGCTGATTCCAGCCTGTCTCAGGTTTTGGAATGTTCTAGAAGGTGACAGAGGATTGACATCTGCACTCTCAGCCCGGGAACTTGCCAACTCACAAGTGGGAAGTGGCGCTGGCCACTCTCGACAATTCCCAACACCTGATGGAAAGCGAGGGCAGAGCTATCTGGAGACCCTACAGTTATGCACACAGGGTCCTGGTTTGACTGCCAGATCAGCCAATATAAAAACAACATGCAGAGTGTTTCAGTGGGGTGTCTCTGAGAGGGGCCATGACCCTCTGCACTCCGGGACACGCAGCATCCCAGCATCCATGAGGAATGTGCCTGCTCAGCGAGGAAATCTGTCTGCAGTCTGCAGAGGGTGGATGAGGGTCCCACCACTCTCACGGCTCCCTCCTTGCTCCTATTTATAGCATGGACCCTAATGTACTGATGTCACCCACTGGCCCCTCTCAGCCCCTGGAGGAGGATACTCCCCTCTCCCCGCTGGGAGCTGTGGGAAAGAACCCGCTCTGTGACCTCTCCCAGCCCCTGAGCATCGGCCTGGCTCGGAAGGCTGGGTAGTCAGAGGAGGAGTCCCCTGGGGCTGGAGGAATTCAGCAGAGGCATCCTAGGAGGAGCAGCACAGCTGTCAGAGGAGGAACATTAGAGGAACAAATCTGTCTTGGAAGAAGTACAGCCAGAATGCTCCTTAAGAGTGAGGATGATGAGACTTCGTCTCACACACTTCGGACATGTTATCAGGAGGGACCAATTCCTGGAGAAGGACATCATGCTTGGTAAAGTAGAGGGTCATTGAAAAAGAGGAAGAGCTTTGACCAGATGGACTGACACAGTGGCTGCAACAATAGGCTCAAGCATAACAACGATTGTGAGGTTGGCACAGGACCGGGCAGTGTTGCCTTCTGCTGTTACGCAGGGTCACTATGAATCGGAACTGACCCGATGGCGCCTACCAACAACAACTGCTACAAAGATGGGGAGCGCGTATTTTCAATTTTATATACACATTTATTCATCCATCCTTCCAACTCTCCATCCATCTATCCATCCATCCTTCCATCAGTCCCTCCATCCACCTATGCATTGATCTATATATACATCTGTCTACCCATCTATACATCCATCCATCCATGGATCCATCCATCCATCTGTCCATCCATCCATGGATCCATGGATCCGTCCGTCCATCCATGGATCCGTCCGTCCATCCATGGATGGACGTCCGCCCGCCCCCATCCATCACTGAACACCTGAAACAAGCCACTTCTTTGCTTAAGGAACTTAGAAAACTGTTTGTGCCTACTGGAAAAGATGCTAAGATCCGGTGCCTTTAAAAATGATGCCGTTGGTGTTTGAAACGACCCCTGTTCCCCATTCCCACCTATCTATTTGGCCAACTCCTGTCTGTCCTTCGGGACTTGGCTCAGCATAGGCTGTTTGGTGTAAATTAGACCATTCCAGAAGGACAGCTTACAGCGTCCTTTGCTGATGTGCTCCCTGCATCTTGTCATCAACCCCTGAGTTGGTGATCACCCTGGGCTGACACTGGCCCCAGGAAGCCTCCTCACTGAACTGGGAGCCCCTTTGACCCAGGCCATATCATTGTGTCCTTGTGTGCCTGATGCATGGTGCACACTGGGTTGTCCAAAAGAGTTTGCTGAAAAACTGAAGCAAGGAGGAAAGATTAAGTAACCAACTCATCCACTTAACACCTGGGAGGTGTTTCTAGTATATTCCCAGCCTGTGCCAGGAACTGGATTGCTGTAGTGAGAGAGACAGACACGGCAGTCCTGCTCCAATGGGGCTTTTGCTCAGACAACAGGGACAGACAGTGTGCATGAGGTGGCCGAGATGTGTCGGGTTAAAGACCCTCTGACGGCCAAGGGTGGGAGACCTGGAAGCGAGGAGGCAGATGGAAGCTGTTTAGGTTACAGGAAGGACCCCCCCACCTCCCAGAGCTGGGGCAGGAGAAACGCAAAGATAGATGGGTACTGGGACAGTAATGGGGGGAGACAGGAGCCTTCAGGGAAGTGTCGGCAAAGGAAGCCCTGGGTGGGGGGTGGGGGGCACTTTAGCTCCATTCAGTAACCCTCCACCGGTTTGGGAATTTTATGGAATGAAAAGCGGGTTCTCAGGAGGAAGATGCAGACAAAACAACCTGTGCCAGGCCTACGTGGAGGAGACAGTGTCTCTAGAGAGAGTAGGTTCTCCCCCAGAGGACACCATGAAGCAGCGGGCTCGCCGGCAGTCCCACAGGTCACTGCAGTGATACAGGTCATCGCGGTGATACCCATGACCTGGGTGAGGTGGGGAAGGAGGGGCTCCAGTCAGCAAGGCCACCTTCTTCACCAGCCCAATCCCTAGGGCCCACAGCCCTTAGGAGATCCATGACAAAGATTTAATTTCCTTTACGATCAGAAGAAAAATGTAAGTATAATGCAGCCGGGACCATATTTGTCTTTATACTAACACTGTTGGAAAGCACAATTTCATGTACGTATTTACTGTTTTGGAGGAAGAGGCCCTGAAGGCAGATGTACCGAGGGCCCACGGATGTCAGACCTTTCCCACACAGGAATCAGAGCTGCAGACTCGCCTGAGCAGAGGGTAGGACAGAGTATAGTCACACAGGGGGAATGATTCGGAGCTTGACCGCAGGTCGAGGCACAAGGACTCCTCCATTATCCTTTGTATTCTCCTTTTTTACCACCCTGGGTGCCATGAATTGAATTGTGACCCCACAAAGTACATGTTGGACTCCTGGCATCTGTACCTGTGGATGTGATCCCATTTGGCAATAGCGTTTTCTGTTGTTATGTTAATGAGGTCATACCTGAGTAGGGTGAGTCTTAAACCTAATCTCTTCTGAGCAATACAAAGGCCAGAACAGACCCAGACACATGCAGGTGCCATGCGAGGAATGCTAAGCAATTAACTCCCAGGACTACTGACAAGGGAGTGCCTCCCCCTAGAGCTGGTGCCCGGAACTGGGACGTCTACCTCCTGAACTGAGAGTCACGTGTGGCGTATCTGTTACAGCAGCACTAGGCGACTGAGACACGGAGTCAATCCAGCGGGTCATGATGTCACCGAGACAGTTATGAAGATGCCCCTGGCCTCCCACGCCTTCCAGGTGCCCCTGCACTCACCTGGGCAGGGCAGGACGTTGCACTCCTGGTACTCCAGGGAGGGGCCCAGGCACGGCAGCCCCCCGTACCTGGGCTCGGGGTTATTGCACACCCGCTTCCGGTTGCGGATGCCGCGGCTGCAGTCACGGCTGCACTGGGACCAGGATGTCCAGGCCGACCAGGCGCCATTGACCGTGTGGGCAGAGTACCTTCCCGCTCGCAGGAAGTCCCCAGAGAGGCCTGCAAGGACAGCGAGAGCATGCAAATCCGTTAGGAGTTCCGGGCTGACTGTCGGCCATGCTGACTTCCCTTTGTATCACCTGCCTGCTCTGCCTCTATAGCCACCGCCTCGAGTTCAGCGAACATGGTTTACATTTCAGGAGGAAAACAGTGCAGCTGAGTGAGAGCCCCCCCATAACTCTGCAGCCGCTGTTAACCAAAGGCGCAACCGTGGCAGAGTCCTTCCAAATAATCTGTCTCCTGTTACCAGCAGTTCACTTACTGTTCTGAGAAGCCTTTTCTTACAAAGAAAATATGTCAGCACAACCCTTGGGAATTCTACCACAAACAAGCAAAGTCTTGCCACCTGCAAATGTGTTCCGAAATACAGACGGGATCTAACAGCCCTGATACGCTGTAATGGGAGTCCCTGGGTGGTGCAGATGCTTAACGCGCTCGACTGCCAACCAAAAGGTTGGAAGTTCAAGAGCGTTTCATGAGAAAGGCCTGGTGATCTCCTTCTGAAAAATCATCCATGGAAAGTCTTTGGAGCACAGTTCTACTCTGACACACATGGGGGCACCATGAGTTGGAGTCGACTTGACATCAGCTGGCTACACAATGAAGAAGTGCTCACCACTAAAGCTGTCCATCTGGATAAATGGAAACATGATTTGGACCTTTGCTAAACCTGTTCCTTCACCTTTTAAACTCCCCAAAGTGAGTTAGCCTGGCAAAGGTGCTGAGCTAACTGCCGCTGAGTGCCAGCCATGGACGCTGGCATCTGCTCTGGAGCCACCAATGGCCTAAGCCACTGCCCCAGAGCCCAGCGCGTCCCTGAATGACCCATGAAGCTCAGGGCACCTGCGGGAACAAAATGTGCCTCCCCGGGAACAAGTCTAGGAGTAGAAGCAGGAGTAGCAGCAGCTGGTGAAGGAGTTGTCCTCGTGGGAGTAATAGCTAAGCAGCTTTGAAGACTTACTGTGGGCCGGGCTCTGTCCTATAGGGTTGCTATGAGTCGGAATTGACTCGACGGCAATGGGTTTGGTTTGGTTTTTGTGCACAATTAAGTCTCATTTTGTGTGATCAGAGGCAAGGAGTCCACTGTATTTTTAAGATATCAACACCAAACGTGTGCATGGTGTGAGTTAGCCATTAAGACATAAGAAGGCTCAAGTCCTTGATAGCCTGGCCATGATATTCTGTCAGAGGGAACACAGTATATTGCTTACAAATGTGCATTGAGTTTTTCCCTAGCTTATATTGTTGCTGTTTTTAGTGGCTGTCCAGTTGATTCATGGAGACCCCATGTGTGCAGAGCAGAACTGCTCCATAGGGTTTTCAAGGCTGTGACCTTTTGGAAGGAGATCACCAGACCTTTCTTCCAAGGCATCTCTGGGTGAGAATGAACTACCAACCTTTTGGCCAGTAGTTGAGTGCTTAACTGTTTGAGCCACCCATTAAAAACCAAACAAAACTCATTGCCATTGAGTTGATTCTGACTCATAGCGATCCTATAGGGCAGAGGAGAACTACCCCATAGGGTTTCCAAGGAGCACCTGGTGGATTCGAACTGCTGCCCTTTTGGTTAGCAGCCGTAGCACTTAACCACTGCGCCACCAGGGTTTCCTACCACCCATTACTAACCTTAAAAAAATTAGCTTTGGTTTTGTAAGTATCTGAGAATAGAAGGAATAAAAAAAATACACGTTCAGAAAGTAGAATAAAGTTAGTGTATAAAGAACCAGCATCATTCATTTTCTCTTTTTAAATTGGATGTCAGTAGAAAAGAGATATTGAAGAACCTGCTTTGAAATAAGGAAACAAGTTGGTGAAATGCAGATAGGGTTGCCAGATTTAGCAAATACAAACACAGAACACCCAGTTACGTCTGAATCTCAGATACAAAATAAATAATGCTTTTAGTATAAGTATGTCCCAAATATTGCATCCGAAATATTTATTATTTATTTATTAAAAAAAAAAAAAAGTCTGGGGCATTCCAAAAAAAAAAATTCTGAAAAAAATCAGAAATTCAAATGTAACTGGGCACCCTATGTTTTACTGGCAACCCTAACTGGCGATCACACAGGTGGGTCTTCAGTTATTTCTCTCTGGACATTTCATGATGGATCTTCTCTTCCAACAGGCCACTCTAACCACAGCCAGGCATCAGGGAGATGAGAAGAGTGGGCGCCCTTTTCTCTCTTGGCTCTGATGCAGTTTTCTCTGTCCGTGCTGGCTCTCCTGCAGTATCAGATAGTCAATCAAAGGGCACAAGACATCGATGGCCCAATTTCTCTTCAGTTTTAGATTAAAGTTAGTGTATTAAAAAAATCCAAACCAAACCAGACGAGCTGCCACTGAGGCCGTTCCGACTCCTGGCAACCCCGTGTGTGTCAGAACTGTGCTCCATAGGGTTTTGACGACTGATTTTTTTGCAAGTAGATAACCAGGGCTTTCTTCCGAGGTGCCTCTGGGTGGACCTGAAGCATCAACCTTTCGGTTAGCAGCTGAGTGTGTTCACAGTTTGCACCACCCAGGGACTACGAAGCTATATTCATATAATAAAGCTACATGACAGTAGCCTTCAAACACCACGTGGGCAACCTCACTCTCACCATTGACCATTTTTAGCCAGTGTCTGAGGCGAAATCATTAAGATACTACACTTATTTCTATTGAGCAATTATTACAGCAAATAAATAACAGCGATGTGCTAGATGTTCTCAGTTCCAATTTTAAAATAGTAGAGAAAACACAATATGTGGCAGAAAATGTTAGAACTGAAAAAAAATATTCTTTTCAGAAATTCTCCCCTTAAGTGATAGAAAGGGTAACATGATAGAGAACCCCTCACAGGCTTGCTTTATCTGAGATGCCTTTTCTGTGACGGGTGTCTGTCAGCATTCGCTGAGGGGGGTGTGGGCTTCAGGGAGGGACCCAGCCACTCCCCAAAGGAGACTCAGTAAGAGCAGACTGCCCTGAGATCACCCTCGGATTTCCTCCAGTCTCATAAATACAAGTGAAAGCCTTTTACTTTGGCTGAGGGGAAGACTACGAATGGAGAGGAGCTTATGTAGATCAGATTAAGCAATCTTTTTTAAAGGATTTATAAAAATCAAAACATAAACATTCTCTAAAAATATATAGAGAGACACCTAAGTCAGCTACCTAAACAAAAGGCGTAACGCTAAATATTTAAGACCTCCGATTTAGGGGCAAGTGGGGACACTTTCTCTCTCCTCTCCTTCCAGAGCAACAAATACTTGTATTTTAGAGATTTAGGTATTGCCCCCAAAGTCCCTGAGGCACTTTTCTATTCCTCTCTCCCGCCTGTCTGCCTTCCTGCCTGCCTGCCTTCCTTCCTGTCTGCCTGTCTTGCTGCCTGCCTGCCCGCCTTCCTGCCTGCCTGCCTGCCTTCCTGCCCGCCTTCCTGCCCTCCTGCCTGCCTGCCTTCCTGCCCTCCTGCCAGCCTGACTTCCTGCCCACCTTCCTGCCCTCCTGCCTGCCTGCCTGCCCTCCTGCCTGCCTGCCCTCCTGCCTGCCTGCCTGCCCTCC